CCCCCCCCCCCCCCCGCCCCCCCCCAAACCCCTTCTTCCCTCCAAGAGGCTCTCAACATCTCCTTCACCTCTCCCCTGTTCCACGTCTCTCACTCTCGTCCATCGCCTGGAAACTCCTTTGCCCGCTTAGTTAGTCCTTCTCGTTTTACAAGAGGAGCAGCAGATGCTAGTAGTCCGTTCCTCCTCCCTTTGTCTATTTATCGCACCCCTGCCTCTCTTTACTAGAGATTACCGTCTCCAATCCTGCATATATCTCTCCGTCATCCCTGTATAATCAAAAACCACCGGTGCACACTGATATTATGTTTCTTGTGTTCGTTGCAGTGTATGCGAATCGATACCGAAGTTGAACCCGCAGGCTAATACTTGTTGTTCATTTCTTTATCTTCAGACTTCAACTGGACCTTATGAGCACAGCACACGATACACGACAAGACAGAGACAACTGCCCATCAGTGATAAGAACCACCACGTTACAGAAACAATTGGTTACATGTATGATGATGATTATGACCAAAGGCACTCCAAATATTTGAGCTACATTCCATCCTCCATGAATGAGTCGCTTTCTGTTTTACCCTACACTCGAGAGAATCTCCAAACCCCCTCAGATCCAGATAACCTTCAACAGTCACTGCCCATCAGGACCAGTTCAATAGACAGGGCTGGCGAAAATGGCCACAATCGCCAGCCCATGGCGGAGAAAGGCTCGACCGAGCCAATGAATGGTGGACAACTTTCGTCGATGCTGACGCGCTCCCCTTCATCGAAGACCTCGAAATCTATCCCGCTCGATGACATAGACTATGAATCCAATCCTGCTGCTGTGGCCCAGGAGCTTAACAATCTTGCGGCACTAAGGAGGATGTCATTGGATGTGGGAGCTGCTGATCCAGACTTCCCTTCTTTCGGCGCTAATTTCGGAGTGCCCCCGATTCCGCCCTCCGCCCCGTCCGACAGCAATGATGCGTCGCAGTTATTTTGGGTCCCTGCGCGCCTGCACCCTGGCTTAGCACCCAAGGAATTTAAAAGCTTCCTCGATGGCAAAGCAGAGCAGTTAAAACGAAGGTCTGGCGAGCTTTCCATGACTGACTCAGGGCTACAAATACAAGGCTCGACTGGGGGGCTACGAAGGAGGAAATCCATGTTATCAAGACAGATCGACACGTCAGGTTCCGGAAGTCAAAATGAAGAGGGTGGGCTGGATGCAGTATCAGAAGAGCCTTCCACTGTACAAGGGAATGGTAACGATTTAATGCTGGACGACAAACCCATTCTGCCACCCGCACCGCCAGGTCACAGCTTACGAAGATCGACGCGAACAACTTATCGCAGAGGGAGTTTAAAGACAGGGGAGCGGATCCCGTATTCGAGACGGGCACCGCGGAACTCCAATTCGGACGCTGAAGCCATGCCCCAACGGTCACCACCTTCGTGTGAAGATGACCTACCAATTCTCAGGCTAACCAGGGTTTCAACTGACCCAGTGCATGGACCTGGGGCATCGGGTTATTCACGGCCAGTTACCCGCACACAACCGGACACCTCTAGCACTGCCACTCACGGCTTCAGCGCGTTTGACTCGCTAAGAGATGCTGCTTCAGATCATTCAAGCTCCGGCACCAGATCGCTCTCCTCCTCGCAATCACAGACTTGGTCATCTCAGGTTGACCACAGTGGTCAACGAATTTCAGAGACACCCACTGCAGGCCAGAATGTACCTCAAATTATTGAAACTCATCCGACCGACTCGAAAGAGTCGGCACCTACATCGCCGCTCACCTCGACACAAAGTCATATTCCCGCTCGCAAATCCTCGCACGATCCACCTCCTTCACAACCTCCGCAGACACCGTTACTTCCAGAGCCAACAGGAAGTAGGAGCTCCAAACGGGCCGCATTAATCAAACAGCCCCGAGAAAGCTCTCAAACCGTAAATGAAATCGCCTCCCATCAAACAGCACTGTCTGGAAATACCACAAAAACGGATACGCTATCCTTCATCCCAACACTAACGGATCACTCCAATAAAAGGTCAGACTCGAAGAAGTCTAAAGATAAAAAGGATGGAGAGGGCAGCCGAAAATCAAGTTGGACATGGCTTCGCGGCTCTGAGGAGAAGGATAAGGAGAAGAAAAAGGAGGAAGAGTCTAAGAAATCCAAAAGCAGATTACCCAAAATAACCGAAAAAGCACACGACAATACTCGCCTAGATGTTCTGCAAACTTCCATTGACGGAGCACAGAAAGGCCGGGAAAGTGTTATTATCGACCGTGCAGAAATTAAGCTTGAAGAAGAACGCCGTAAGGACCACGCAAAGAAATCTTTGGGCATTGAACAGAAGAAGGAGAAGGAAACAAGCCTATTCTCATCCTTTTTTGGGGGCAAGAAAAAGGGGCATCATGATAGCGGTCACAGAAAGCATTCGGGAAGGAATTATTCACCAGAGACACTGCCTCGTGAGCTGAAGCCAGATATCGACTACCACTGGACCAGGTTTCCTATCGCTAAAGAAAGAGAAATCTACCGTGACGCTCATTGGAAGCTTGCAAATCCGAAGCGCCCACTACATTCTCAAGTTCTCTTGAGCAATTTCATGTATTCATATCTCGCCAAAGTACAGCAGATGCACCCTACCTTAAGTCTGGGGCCCTCTGCTTTGCAAACCCAGCAGCGTAAATTGGAACCGACCCAGTCTGAGGACCATTCGCAATATCAGAGATATCAACAGGTGAGTATTTGCGAGTTTTCATATAGCGCGGATAGTTGTCTAACCTTACTTCTCGCAGGGCCGCGAACATGACCGCTACAACAAAGGCAATTACTATAACGATTCCCAATTGTATGACTATGATGGCGATGACCGAGATGACCACCAATGGTCACTGTCTGGGGGACATTGCCACTCCCAAAATGGCTCTATTTACGGACCAGGTCACCAACCACCGCAGTACGCGTCGCATTCCTCGTTTGGTGATGATCCACAACTTGACGACGACGACGATATGTGGTAACATAAATAAGCTAGCCTATGGGATTCAGCAAACAATGGGGAGAGAGGAAAAAAAAGAAAAGAAAAGAAAAGAAAAAGAAAAAAAAATGAGGAGGTTAGCGAGTGCCCACCACATCCACACTTTCAACCGCCCCGTGCGTTCTTTGTCCTAGCCATTTGTCGCACCTAAATTTATACCCCATATTTTCCCTTCCATATACGTTGCAACTGTCTTATCACCCAGTCTTATTCCTAACATTCAATACACTTCTTCATTACTTAGAATCGATTCCACTTTACATGGAGTATAGCACGCACACTAAACCACGGCCTCAAATATGGTTGGCTGTTCTGGTTAGATTTTTGGACACTCGATCTCTTGTTTAGCCAGTCATGCTAATCACGATGTATACATTATTACCATTTCTTCATTTTCTTTTGTCGATGGCATAGCGGCGGCTTCGTTTGTTCTTTTTAAAGTCTCTTATTCTGCCTCTCATCTGTCTTCTATCACTTCCTCGTCTACATTTTAGTTGGTGTCCCTTTTCTTTATACTTTGTTTCAAGCTGCGCTAGCAATGCGTCTTCTCCTTTTCGGCATCTCAGCCTTCGCCAATCTTATATGGCATTCAGTGTTCCGCTCGACGCGATCTGTTGCGCCTTACCTGTGGCGTGTTTTCATATCCCTTCTCTCCCTTCCTCACTAGCTAGGTATCTATTTCGTTGTGAAAGTTCTCTTTTAAGTTTGAAATCCATTAATAGCCACTACTGCCTCTAGTGGCCTTTGCTCCCCGTCAACTCTACAGTGTTATTATAATTTTCGCGGTTCGCTTCTGGATTTCTTCCATAATTCCACATACTTTATGTTTTTCATCGATGTATTTAGGTTGCAGGAACAAAGCTTATCGTCCCGCTACCTATTTAACTTTCTTCTCTTCTACCTTTGGTTGTGGATGACAATTTTGACAATATGTTTCCCTTATGCCCGATTTCTCGAAGTTTGATAGGAGATAGCCAAAATCGTACATACATTCTGTATGTATTATCCCCACCGCGGAAAGACTAGTGAACTCCCTCTCGTACCCACCCGGTCCCCCCCCCCCCCCCCCCGCGTCCCCGATACGCTGCTAACCAATCTACATACAGTTTTCTACATATTTTAATGAGTAGGAAGTTGAACTTAACAACATTAACTCAGGTATTCACTTGATTGAATGGGTACTAGCGTCAGTTTTACCTACGTACAATAGATACAATGGTCTATTATCTCGTGTCTGAACTGAGTTCCTGAGGGTAGAACTGATGAGAATGAAATAGGGTATTGCGGGTGCGATTTTGCCATGTGGGAAAGCAGTTAAACAAAATTCAGGAAGAAGGGAGAAAAGGTAAAAGAAATAATAGAGGGTGAAAAGAAGAAAATGCACGTCAACTAGGTCAATTAAGATCCACGACAAATCTAGGCATCGTTAGGGATCGACAGGCACAATAACACTCTTGATGATTATTATAAGGGAGGATTAGCGCTCATGGGTGATTTGGCAAAGTAAGTTAATCTTTTTTTTCTTTCTACTTTCTCATTTAAATTTCTTGAAAACATCCTCTCACTTGTATAATCTCAGCATGCTGTTCTTTGGTTGACAATTCTTTCCAATTAAACATAGATATCAGTCCCGATGCAGTTGCAAACCCTGTCGGGCCCTACGGGTGCTTCTTCGTTGCCGTCATGGTAACATGGCTGAATCCGCGAGCAATGTTTATGAAAATCACAATGTTCAATGTTCTTCCCATGTGTGTTGCCTCAATTCACAGGGATGCCTGGGGCTTTACAGCGCTGTCAAAAGTTTGAGAACATTCAACACCAGCAGATGCTAGCCACGAGATCCAAAATGGATACAATAGAATTGCATGCGTGGTTTCAGCAATCTGGTTTTGTGGTATTTGGTGCTCACCCCATTACCATCCGTTCCAAATAATTTCGGTCGGTTTAGCTACAACTCAACAGTAGGATTCGCAGCACCCTCAGAAATTATCGGCTACCAGAGTTACAACAGTAAATGATCACATTCTCCATATTTTATTACTGTCGTAATAACGCAGCCACGTCAGATCATAGTATTGTTGGCCAGTCTGCGAATGGAGAAGCAAGTTTCTCTCGCATTCATACTCGGTTTCTCGACCACGACGGTCGTCTCCCTTATAATACACCCGGTGGTGAGTAGGGCCAAATTATTCCATGGTATACAACCGTATCCCAAAGTGGTAAATTAGCTGCTGGATTCGCAGATAGCGAATGTGAAAAGGCAGTGAACATGGTTGGCGATGGAAGATAACACAGGTTGCTTGCTACGCAGAACGGACACAGTGCCCATGGAAATACATTATTTCGACAGGAATCGGCTGCAAGAGAGGGAAGAGCTGAACCAAAGGACAAGAAATCGCAGGCGCTGAAAGCAACGATGAATGGCTTCAATTCTCTCTATTCGAACTTTTACGATAGTATGTGCAATGTCAAGCGCTGGCACCGGGGGAAACTTATCTAGGAGGATTTAGATATTCTCTCCGACCTCTTGTGATATATTGGTTTCTTTGTCAGGTTATCAGGATGTTGCCGGAGATTTAACGCAAACTATCGAGACTACCCTCATTTAGGTGACGACTCTGCAACACATCACTCTGGGGCTGCAGTATGCAATGGTCACATTAGATATTGCGGAGGCGAAGGATTTCACCAGGGATATTGAGGAGACATCGGAACCCCCATGTAAGAGGTAGGTACTGGGGTAATTGAGTTCTACCAACTTTTGAAACGAAGATGCGCTAGCTAGTTAAACGTATAAAAAGAAGAAAATCAATATCTTTGCTATTTAGCATGACTGATTTTAGAAGAATTTTTAAAAAAACTTGAACCAGACTTGCTATACAGTCAGTATATTTGTGACGAACTGATAATTCTTTAAAAAACACTCAATGAGTCAAATTATAAAAATTTATATAGTTAGTAACTTTCTCTGCCGTTGCATTAGTTCTCGATTAAAAGCTTAAGCTAAATTATTAAAAAAGACTAATAGCTAACTTTTAAAAATACTTTTATCAAAGTTTTAATATGACTTAAAGGCTGAGTTATAAATGAATATAAATAAATATAAATCTGAAATAAAGTCTCTAATCTATTCAGATTTAATTTTTAAAGCTAGTATACTCTGTATATTTTAAAAAAACAATTATAATTCTCAAATAAAAAGATTCTGATTTTATAAAAAAAAAAGGGCATAAAAATCTTTAAAATTTATTAACTTTTATTAATAATTAATAAAAAAAATTCTTAATTTTATTTAATTACTAATAAATCTAATCTTATATCTTCAACTTTTCAAGATAAAATACTGCTTATATATATTCATAGACTGATAAGACTAAGTAAATAATTTAAACAGTTAAAAGTATTCTTTAAAGTTTTATAATTATATATAAAATGACTATATAATCTACTTTCACATTTAGAAATTATCATCAATGACTATGTGTACTAATTCGCTGTATGAGCCTCTGAAAGGGAGAGGGATGATGTAAATAGGCTAACTGTTTTAACCCAAACTGCTTACCTGGACTATCCTTCTTCCTCCTTGACTTTTATAACTCTTCGCCTACCTTTCTAGCCTTCATTCTCGGGGCCTGTATTCCTGTATTTGATAGCACGCCCGTTACAATTTCTAAGCTGCTTTTTATTTTACAATTTCGAACGACACACGTTCGCATGATAAGCAGGGTGTTGAAGATATTTTATTCCCATATATAGGGTAAATCCATGCATATAGATGTTCGAGTGAACGGCTCTTTGACGTTCGTCAATATATTATTCCAATGTCTATGCTCCGCACTAACTAGGTGATATTTATAATTCCGAACCCCCCCCTTTCTGAAGCTTAGTCATCCACCGAAATGTCACATGATACGTCAGACTGCATCATTCATTCGTTCCAACTCTCTTTAACTTTTGATCACTTGAAATAACTCGATTTCCAACATACAAGTCCCAAATGACATAGTTCTCAGCCCTTTACCTTCGTATCACTAACGAATATCCACTTACCTCGGTGGAACCCGATCTCGTATACACCCAAGGCTATTTATAACGGAAGCGACATAGTAGCAACCATTTTCAACGATCAAGGCCCTCTGCGCAGCCAACTCTCAGTACTGTAGCGGAGAAAACGAACGATACTGTGAATATCCACCATATCATCACAGAGATACAGAGAGAGAAAGAGAGAGGGAAAGAACAAAGAGAAAAAGGGCGAGCCACCTTGCCATACAAAGCTGCAGAGAGGGCCGGGTTGATCTGATATCGTTCTTTCGCCTCCACTCTACAACATGAGTGACGCATACGTGCGCGAGCAGTATGTCTCCCCCCCCCCCCCATTTCCCCCTTGGGCCGTTGCTGCTCACCCACCATAACCTATGCAGCAGAGGGCTTGAAACCACCAGCTAACCACAAGGCCTCAACTACAAGCAGACAAAACAATGCGCTCTTAGATGCTCTGGCGCAAAAGACACGGGCGTTGAAATCAGTCACAATCGATATATATGACAATGCCAGGGATCATAATACAATCGAGAACACTGTTCGTGGTACCCACCTCCTCACCCACGTGTCTGTTGGTGATAGTCTGCGTAGACCACCTTGACTCGAAAAATGCAGAACTAACCCGCAATACAAAAATAACAGAGCGAAGTCTTCTCGTCCCTGTCGACAAATATCAGAGGAAGTGCCGGTCGCTTAACACGCATGGCGAAACAAGGGGATCGAATTGCCATAACGAAGGTAGCGGGGATTGTTGTCGTCATCGGGTTTGCTCTTTGGCTTATTTTGGGATGGATATTTTGAGCTTCTATCCACCGTTGATTCATGGTTGTTTAGTCGTTTTCGTGCTATCTAGATACCTAGGGCTGGGCGCCGAGAGCCCCATGTTGCATAAGCCGTTCTTCGGTCATCCGGTGTTAATGGTGTGTTTGGAAGCCATGCATATAAATAGTTGACTGCTTAGGGCTGGGATTCGGGTTTGTTTTACATATATTGATTTGCTCTTCGTTTTCATCAGCAAGTATTCATATTGTTACCCTGTGGAATTTAATTTGCGTCGCTAGTTGAATAATTTTCTTTTTTTCTTAGGCTATGTACTTGGCTGCTTTCTTCTGCATTTCATTGGTAAACTAGTTATTTGTTTCTCCATCCTGCTACAAAGACTTTAACCCGTATAATATATATCCTTCACGTCCCGTGGTCTTTCTAATAAGAGTAACCTGTTTTGTGGCGTGCCACAATACATGCCACAATATGAAAGCCAGGTGTAAATAATCACTACAGGACCAGGTGGGGTCATGGGAAATCCGACATAGGAAATATGTAACCCGTCACCAGCAGGAATAACGACCGGGGCCCAATGTTAAGTAAAGCAGCCTCAAGTACGGAGTATGTGAATGAAATTGATTGAAGTTTTGCTTGTCCAGGAAAACTAAGGAACAAAATTACTTGATTATTTAACAAAACGCAAAAATATTTTCTAAAAAAAAAAGGCGAGCAGGCTTGACAAACACAATCTAGATGCAAGTGAAGAAAGTCGGAAATGCTGAATTTTGCTTGCTCCAACCCAAACCTACATGAATCAATTGCATACGTAGAAAATATCTAGAGACATTGGTTTGCGTAAAGGGAAATAAATCCAAAATGATAGATATTTCACTCCCATACATTAGAAAACAAATCATCACTTCCCGCAAATCCACCACTCAACTTGGGTTTTGAAACGGTACTGGTACTTGTCAGCGCTGGAGGCGGGACGCTTGTCCATCCGCCGAAATCTTCATCGGCAGAAACGGTGGGGGTGGGCTTAGTAGAGGAAGCTGTAGTTGATGAACCCCACCCGGAGCCAAAGTCATTGGCGGTAATTTTATCGGGGACCTTCATCATGGATGAAGGATTTTGCTTAGTGTTCGTGGTAGATTCAATCGTATTCCAGTCATTGCCACCCCAAGGATCGACGGCACTGTTTGAATGCATACTACCAACGTTGACAGCGCTGGTAGGAGAAGACACAGGAGGTGCGGGAGCATTCGGAGGTGCAGAAAGGTTGAATACAGAGTTTACGTTTTCTGGTTTTGGCGAAACTCCGGGCGCGATATTGCTAGAAGTAATTGACGGAGAAGAAAACAGGTCAAAAGCACCTGTGGATGTCATGGGAGGTGCTGCTGCTGCCTTCGTTGATCCCAGTGTAGCTCCCACAAAATTAAAATCATGCCCAGACGACATGGACGGAGTTCTCGTCTGTTGTGGCTTAGGAACCGATGACATAGCAGGAGTATCAAAAAACCCACCTCCGCCCATTGACAGGGAAGATATTTTTTGCGGGGCAGGAGGAGACTTTGGAGCACTAAATGATCCGAGGTTGGGAAATGCATCGTGTCTCTGAGAAGGAGAAGAAGTAGAGGTGGTAGCTGGGAAGCTCAAGCCACTAAATGTATCGGTAAGTCCACCAAAGGTATCAGTCTGTGGTCTTTGTTGTTGCTGTGGCTGTGGCTGCGCTGAAAAAGACTCAAATGACGTATTTTGGTCGTGCTGCAGTGGAGATTGAGGCTTCGGAGCCGATGCATATAAAGATAAAATGGACTGTTTGAGGTCGGGCCTTGAAGCCGTGGATCCTGGATTAGAAGACGGAGTACTAGATGGGCGGTTTGCAGCAGGTTGGGAGGAGCCGAAGAAATCCAGCCCAAGCAATGAATCTGCCGGTTTTCCCGCTTTGGAAGAGGGGGCAGGAGCTGGTTTAGACGAGACGGTTGGCGGGCGGATACCAGGCAAATCTGTGGTATTAGGCCTCTCAGGAGGGGTTGGGGTATCATCGTCAAATAAATTCACTGGTTGCCCAGATCGACCGGGTGCTTGTTGGCTCACTGTTGACAATGCGCGCTGAGAGGAAGATCGTTCTGACTTGGCTTTCTCCTGGACAACGGCCAACGGCTACAAAATTAAGCAAGTAATCAAGGAAGAAGATGGATAGAGCAACCTTGCGTTTTGGCAGGGACTCACGGTATTGTCATCACCTTCGTCAACATCAAGGGTTGACGGATCAGGCATTGGTCCTTCCATGACCCACCGCTTCGACTCGTATTTGGTTCGAATGAAATTCTCCATTTTCCTAGACAGCGGATTAGAACATTACTTCAAGTTGACACGATATTTCAGCCTTTATCGAGTGGCCAAATTGGTGGAAGACATTAACATACGATTCTGACGGGATGTGCCCAGGAGCAAGCATTGCTTCCCAGTACCTAGAGTCGTAAGAGTTTACAGTTAACATAACCACTATTGATAATCTTGCTCTGAAAACAGAGAGTAGGTGGGATAAACAAACTTGTTTGCTCTGGCATTTCCCCATTTGAGCACGCTCTGCAATTGTTCATCCGTCCAAGAGTCTAAATCGACGGACTTGACTCGACTAATGTGTGTTCCCATGCCCCTGTGTATGCCCGAACAACGAATGCAAATGAAAACGCCGATATTCCAGCTGGCCCATCTCGGATCTGTTCATTCCACAGATAGGGGCGTTTTTAACAGTAAGTGGTTTGTAATATGCAAAACAGGCAGCCTAACAGGGTAACAAGTAGAGATCCTTGAACATACGTTTATTCCGCTTGCAATCCGCACAAGTCTTATTGCATTCCAATTTAAGAAGATTCTTAATCACCAGTTGGTTCTTTGCGGCCCGTTCAGCTGCCGGGTTAGCTGCTCGTCTCGACGACATAATTCGGCCGCGAGTGCTGGTAGAAGGTTGGGGGGTATTTGGGCCAGAGGATTGATCGCTCTGTAGAGAAAGGAGGGGAAGAACAATAAGTTGGTCGTGTGGTAGGCGTAAGCTGTGTTGTCTCTGGGGAGGGAAGGGGATACAGTTGAGGATTAGCCAGAATAGAAGGGATGCATTAAGTATTCAAGTTTGGATTAAGATTTAGTTTTGGATATTTTGTTTCTGAAGATGGTGAAAAGAAGTGTTGGAGGTTGAACATGGAGTTGAAGATACTTCGCCATCCCGATTAGGCATCATGCTGGAAAATGCGACAAAGGGAATGACTAATCTATGGATGGATCCAAGTCACGTGCCAGCGATGCTCCAAGATGTTCCAGCACAGTGAATATCAGACATAGACATCTCGCCGCGATGAGCCAAAACAACAGCAACATTGCTATCACCAAGGCTCCTCTTCGCTCTAAAAAGAAGAGAGCCCGCGCAATCTCCTCTGCTCCGCTAAAACCCCCGGACGACCCCCCCCAGCCCCAAAACACCACATCCCAGGACGCGTCGGACACTACAACAGCCACCACAGCTCAACTACATCAAATCAATATCAACTTCAATCCCCGCCCGGCCCTCTCACCAGGAGGAGAATCCATTGAGAATGTGACTGACTGCACTCAAGCAGTCCTGCTAACCGCGAAGAACTCCTCTTCCACAGTGAATTATAAGCTCAATGCTCTGCTGAGTCATGCCAACAACTCCTTCTCTGCAGAGCTAGCTGCAGTGCTTGAGCTATGCAATAAGCTATCTGTGGTACTGGACCTGATACTCTGCACTTATGAGAACTCTCTACCACGCCAGACTGCTGTACTAAGGCAAGCCATGGGACATGGCATAGCCAAAGCCATTAAAGGCCTCACCGCTGAATCAAAGCCTACATTGATGTATGCTACTGCCGCGACAGCTAAGGCAATCCCCTCAAACAATCCCCCCCAGGCTGTTCCAGCAACAGGACAACCTCACAAGAAGCAGGTACAGCGGGCCAACTGCCCCCTGCACCAAGGACAGGAAGACAAACAAGTCATGATTAGGCTACCTGCAGCACATGCTGCTCGTGACCTAGACCCCCAAGCTATTCATGAACAAGTACGCGCCATGATCCCTGATCCGACCTGGATCACTGATGTATGGCACTGCTCATCAGGAATCACCATGGCTGCCCCCTCCCCAGCAAAGGCAGCCTCCATTCTTGAACATGCAGATAAGCTGAAAGCTGCTGTAGGTGACTGTCTTATTGAGCAACAGGAATCCTGGACCACCTTTGTAGTCAGCTCAATCAAGAAGTCAACACACAGCTTTGAAGGACAGAATATCACTCTGATTCCAGTGTCAGAAGAGATGCTTCTTTCTGAGATTCAAGGCACTGCTCACCAGGCTCCAATCACCTGTTGTCACTGGACAAAGAAGTCCATGGACCCCAATCTGCATGAAGGGTACGCCTGGGTTGGAGTATGAACCTCTGGAGTGCACCTCTTTCCAAACAAACTCCACCTTTTCAGTCGCCTGGTGATGGTTAACAAAATCAAGAAATCATCAAAGATCCCAATTTGCACAAGATGTCACAGCTTCCACACAGAAAGAAACTGTGTGTGATCTCTACATTGTGAGAAGTGCAGCAGTCCTGCACACTCAGATGGATGTCAAACACCAGCTCACTGCTGCAACTGCCTTGGCCTCCATCCCACTCTCAGCACTGACTGTCCAGTGAGGCTCAAAATAGTCTCTGGATGTATAGAACACATCTCCCGCCGTCAGCTACACTCAATACATGAAGCTGGCAGAAGAGCATTCATCTCAGCTCATCAAACTTCAGCAGAGAAGAGCAACCCAGAGCTAAACTCTAGAGACTCCACCTCATCCCCTCTCTCAGCCCCGCTGACACCAGTCACTAGCGCCCAGAGCAACCAGACAGACTCAATGACCTGCTCTCAAACAGGCACCAAGATCACACCAAGTCTGAACCTCCACTAATGAAGAGCAGTCACAGTCCTCCTCACAAATCTACACTCACTGTATATCAAGCCAATGTAGGAAGACAGCCAAGCTCCCATGACATTGCTCTCTCACTAGCAGATGAAAGAGCCTGCGACATTGTGGCCATCCAGGAACCCTGGATAGCTACAGACCTCTCCACCTGCCTCTCCAAAAGCCATCTCTCATACAAATGCTTCACCCTGCTCTCCTCCAACTGGACCAAGAGGCCCAGAGTACTGCTCTATGTCAGAAATGGAAGGGCCCTTGTGCCAACTCAACCTATAGCAGATATCTCAAGGGATGTTGTCTGTGTCTCAGTTAAGATCTCTAACTCCAAAAGGGCTAATATCTACAACATATACAACACCTCATCTGATGTCACAGATGCAGGTCAAGGCCTTCAAGACCTCCTCTCTCTTACACACACCACAGAGACCATCCCCTGGATGGCATTAGGAGACTTTAATATTAGACACACAGCATGGGACTCTACAACTGATAGGCATCCTCAAGCAGGAGAGAATCTGTATAACTGGGCAATCTCTCTTGAACTCCAGCTTCTCAACCTGGCTGAATCCCCTACACATAGACAAGAAGGCACACTTGACCTTGTCTTCTGTGCTGCCAACTCAGCTATCTGTCATATTGCTCCTGAACTGCACTGCACCTCAGATCATGAAACTCTTATCACAACAGTTCAATTATCACAGACTCAGACTCAATTGGTTAAGGAGAAGAAGCTTAGCCTCATGACCTGTGATGCTGATCACTTCTTGCAACTACTCACTCTCTTCTCCTCACCAGTCTATGAGGATGTGAATGAGGAAGCAGTGGACATCATGAAATCTCTTCAACTGGCTCTACAAGGCTCCTGCTCTCTTGCCCCAAGACTCAAGAGTCATCATGCCCTATGGTGGACCCCAGCAGTCAAGATAGCCAGAAGAGTATATCATGCAGCATGTAGACACAGCCCTTGTCAATCAGAACAAGTGGCATTCTGGGCAGAAATTAGAAAAGCTAAGAGAGCATGGAATCACCAGCAAATTGAGGAGGCTTCCTCCTTATCAGATGTCTACAAGATTGTCAAATGGCATAAATATCAACCTCAAGACCCCACCCCTCCTTTACAACATCCCGACGGACACCTAGAACAATCTTGTGCTGGCAAATCTTCTCTACTGCATGAGACATTTCTGGCCAGACATCTTGACGCGGAAGATATCCCAGAGCATACACCAACAATTCCATGCAGAGAGATACCCTGGATGCTCCTTACAGAGCAGGAAGTCTACAGAGCCACCTGCCAGACACTTAGCACATCTCCTGGCCTGGATGGCATTACAGCCAAGGTTCTTCAAAAGGCATGGCCAGTGATAGGCAATCAAATTGTTCTACTCTTTCAACACTGTATAGATCAAGGAATCCACCCCCAGAGCTTCAAGAAGGCTGAGGTGGTGATTATTCCAAAGTCAGGGAAAAGAGATTACTCTCTACCAAAGTCTTACCACCCAATCGCACTGCTATCCTGCCTCAGCAAAGGGCTGGAGTGTCTGATAGCTAGATGAATGTCCCATCTTGCTCTCCATCATCACATTCTAGCAGAAGATCAGTGTAGTGCTGTTCAACAGAGGTCTGCAGTAGACCTCACCACTGCACTAGCCTGTGACATACAAGAGGCATGGGACAAACACCTTCTGGCTGGCATGATCACCCTAGATGTCAAAGGGGCCTTCAACAGAGTCCTTCAAGGCCAGCTTCTAAGATGTCTACAGGAACAGGGCTGGCTGGCAGTTCTGATAAAGTGGGTAGCGTCTTTCCTCAATCAACAACTAGCTTTGATTCAACTAGATGATGTTCAATTGAAGGTGTTTCAGATTCTCTGTGGCCTTCCACAGGGATTCTCTGTCTCATCAATTCTCTTTCTGCTCTATGTAGAACCCCTCCTCCAGCTTATCAAAGGCCGGTTTGGGTACGCAGACGACATTGCAATCCTGGAGACTGGAAGCTCCCTTGAGCAGGTAGGAAGTCAGCTTCAGAATTCTCTCAACCACACCCTGGAATGGGGTATTGACAATGGAATCTCATTTGACCCAGCCAAGACAGAGCTTCAATACTTTCATAAAAAGATCAAGTACTTGGAGCCCTCCATCTCCTTTAATGAACAGACAATTTCCCCCAATAACTACACCAGATGGCTAGGGGTTTTCTTTGACAGAAAGTTACTCTTCAGAGAACATATTTGCCTTGTGTGCACTTGAGCCAGAATTGTTACAGGACATGTTAAATCACTAAATGGAGCCTCATTTGGAAATCAAACACATTTGCTCAGACAAGCAACTCAAAGCTGTGCCTTCAGCACTCTGTTTTATGGAGCTGAGACCTGGTTCTCAAAGTGAACCTCTCAGGCAGCCATTGGCAAGATTCAGGTAGTCTTCAACAATGCTGCTCAAGCCATTCTACCTGTCTTTGCCACAACGCCTACCCCTGTTCTCCTACGCGAATCAAGCTGGGGCCCGGCCAAAGCCTGGCTAGAAAGAATACATGACCGACTAGCCATTCGCGTAGCTGCAGCTGACCCGTCACATCCCCTACACCGAAGATGGTACACCTCACGTTTTAAATGGATTAGATGAAACATTAAAATGACAGCCATCACACCTGGCTCAGGGTCCTTGCCTCCTTGGGACAATCCTGGCATACCAAATAGAGAGCAAAAGACACTAGAAATTGGGGCTGTGGGACAAGCTGCAGGACCAGCAGCTTTTCAAAACTGGCTTCAGAAAGCTGTATCCCCCCTTGATCTCATCACATATACTGATGGCTTCAAAGACAGCCAAGGAGTTTCAGGCGGAGGCTACTGTCTATACTGAGGAACAAATCAATCTCTGGAGCTTGGTAAGCTGCCTCTGGGCCGCACTGCTGAGGTCTTTGATGCTGAAGTGCTTGCAGCAGTTGCCGGTCTCAAGGCAGTGCTACAGAACCCCTTCTCTATGTTCGCACAGCACATTATAGTGGCTCTAGACAATGAAGAGGCTGCAATAAGACTCCACACAGACACACCCACACAAACATCTTTTCTCACCTTTGCTAAGTTCAACGAACTCCGCAGGTCCTGGACAAAACAGGGCCCAGGTCCAGCCGGCCCGAGACAGGTCTATGTTCAATGGTGCCCCGGCCACGCTGGGATTCCAGGCAATGATGCCGCAGATGCTGCAGCCAAGTCAGCCTGCACAATGGAATGCACTCACTGCACTCTGACCCTGGCGCGGGCCAAATCCTATGCTAAAGAACACTTCAATGCCTCACTGCAACAATACTGAAGCTCCAATAGCACATCACGATACAAGGACCTCAATATCCCAATGCCAAAAGGACCCTCCCCTGAGCTCACTCTCCCCTGAAGGAACCTAGGCCACTTGCTGGCAGCTAGAACAGGCCACAGTGACTTTGCAGCCTATCATCACAGATGGGCACATGACAACACACTCCTCACCTGCTCTTGCGGCCGAGATAAGACCCCCAAGCACTTCTTCTTTTGCTGGAAAGGCCGGAACATTGAATGAATTAAAACCCCTGAAGCATGCTGAGGATCAAAGGAAGCAATTGACTGGCTTCTCAGCACAGTAAGAGGAGCTACAACCTTCTCTACCTGGTGCACTAATACCCGCTTCTTCATCAACATCCAACGCTGCTACTAGAACCTGTTCAACATCTGACTTCTCCCTCCCCCTCTCTCTTTCCTACGCTCCTTATATACATTTCTCATCACCCCTACACACCACCCTAGAAGCCCTTGGCTTCCTCAGTCCCGTAATCTTCGGCTACTACGCCATTCAGAACCTCCAGGACGGGGGCTACTCTGTACATAGACTCTCAAGAGGGCTTCGGCCGACTAGACATGTCAGGCAGCAGACTAGCTGCTGCGCTGGCACGCCTGATACCCTTAGGGAGGTACTGTGGCCGCGACGGCAGACTATCCTTAGTCAGCTGATCACGTGCCTCCAGGCGTTAAATAAGTAATAATAATAATAATAATATCAGACATAGAAACAAGGATTGTTGTAATTAACTATATCCAAACAATATTCAATCCAAATATTGCATAACAAAGGGTATTAGATATATATTTATATATAAAAATCGAAGCAGATCGCACCCTCCCATCCAACGTAAAGCCATCTCCAAAGAATCAATCTCATCTCAACCATGTTCCAAAAACAGACTCCAGTTCAAGACATACCAATATACATATACCCCTCATCTTTCTCTCACTTGCTTGTTTCCCCCTCCATGCCCTCCTTCTTACCGTTCTTACTCAGCTTCGCCTCATCCTTCGTAAAGCTCAAACTAATACTATTAACACAATGCCTCTCATTCGTCGGAGTTTTATACCCTTCGCCCTTAAACACATGACCCAGATGTCCCCCGCAGTTCGAGCAAACAATCTCAGTTCTTTTCATGCCAAACGACCTATCCTCCTTCCGCAACACCGCTCCAGGGACCGAGTCAAAAAATGCCGGCCAGCCGCAGCCCGATACGAACTTGTGCGATGCTTTGTAGAGCGGAGCGCCGCAACCGGCGCATTCGTAGATGCCCGATAACGGGGCATGTTTGTCGTATTTGCCGCTGCCGGGAGATTCAGTTCCTTTGTTGCGGAGGATGCGGAATTGTTCTGGTGGGGAAGTATAACAAGAAATGGGGGTCCAGTTAGCTTTTGTGAGATAATTAAGGCACGACAGATCCGGGGCAATGCGGGGGTAATTTAGTAGTTATTAAAGAAATGATAGAGAAACAAATTCTCCATACCTTGGGTTAGAACGGCCCGCCATTCATCATCCGTCCGTTTATCAGGGAACTCCATCTCGTAAGTAGTGTTGCTACTTGAAGAGCGTAACAATGAAGAGAGAAATGGGATGGCTGGCATCGAGCTGAATAGAACGGTTCGTGGGCCAGTCAGCAACGGGCGATGTTTGCGGGCAAGGCGGCGAAGATCGGAGTGGAGAGATCTGTTAGAGCCGACGAGCTGTCTAGGGAGACTGGATAAGAAGCCCTGAGTGTGGATTATACGCCGATGGAGATGCAGATTTCGAAGGGTTGGGAGCATAGAGTGGGGGATCTCTTGTATGGAGTTTGACGGATATGGGATTAGTTAAAGTAGAACCACGCGAAAGGTGTGGGAGGGGAAACAGGGGGAAGAAGTAGATGAATATTTTACAAAGTCCTATGGTAAGTACAAAATATAAAACTCCATATTGAGTGATTAATCCGATGGTAAGTTGCCCTAGGGGATAGGAAAAGTTGGGTTGGATTCTAATTTTAAATAAAGTTCACCGATGACCTCACGGATTGTCAATGCCACAACCCTAACTCTAACCAACTTTAACTAGTTAACTTAGTTAACATAACTTAATGTTAGTTAGTTTACTTCAACATTAGTTAAACCACTGACAATTAGTTACAGAGTACTTGCTGATTCATCTCAACGTGGCTCAGCGAATATATATAGCCAACCTTATGCCTGGTTGCAGCCACAGCTACGTGAGCATTTCGCATTTAAGGGATTATCTATGAGTGGCACATCCATACAAGGCATCGGCTTAACCAGTTCATCAGCTGGGGTCACTTAACTATCATCAAGGGCATCATCTATAGTTCCAACAAAAGTATGTTACATGTATTAGTTAATGAATTCCCAACTGAGTGAACTTCTAAAATCGCGAACAGCATGTTATATAGATTTTAACCTGAACATCTACACCTGACAACCACTATTAAATTGAAATAAATTAAACTAGGTTCTGGACATTTTTAATCTTGTATGCCTGAGGGAACCACCATTGCTGCACTGTGATAGAGCTCGTGAGCATGGTATAGGCTCAGCAGGCGGAGGCTCGTGGGGTTGAATGATGGGCTGTTTGATGGAACAATAAGATCCCGAGCTTCTTGCTTGATTAAATCTTCAGATTGAACCCTGCAGTAGATCTTATGCATTTTTTCTTCTCTTTCTCATTTGCAGTGAACATATTCTAATATTAATTACATTTTATAAATAGTAACGCTGATTATAAGTTTTAATAATTAAAAAATATCCTCTCTTTTGACTAGAAGCGTGATGATTTATTTTTGTGAGCATATTGAAATAATTTAATAAGTAATAATAAAAAAAATAATAATACATTTAATGATATGATGCATTCAGTGATAAATTACATTAACTAACAATTAATAGAGATTGCTAAGTAAGCATTTGTAAAATTTAAACAATTTAAAGTTGCTAAATTATCTACTTGTTTGAAAGAATTAAAGTTTAAAGCTGAAAATTTTAATCACTGAATGATTTATCTGATTTTAAAAAAAGTTATTTAATAGTTAACTAACCGGGCCCTAGAGGCTTAGTAAGCTACCGCTCACCTGCAACCTGCCAGTCGGGCCCTAGGGCCCGCCAGCTCAACGTAATCCGCCATCTCAACGTGATTATTTTCAAAATATGATTATTTTTGCAAATCCCTGTTCTTAATATGCAATAACCACCCAACGTGATGTCTTCTACATATATTTTAATAGAGAATAAGATCGCAGATGCATTATCTTCAATATCTGATGTTGAAAATCCCAATATTAAAGCATTGGCGCGAAAATTTGAAGTTCCCTACTCCCGGCTGCTGAATCATTATAATGGTCGCGTCTCTCAAATTGAATGAACCCCTGCTAATCGACTATTATCATCTGGCCAGGAAAAATTGCTCTGTTTCTATATAGAATCCCTAGATAAGCTAGGCCTACCTCCCAATCATTCAATGATCTTTGGTGCTGCCAAATTTCTACTTGCACAGAGTCATACTGATCTCACCACACCTCCACCCGGGCCTGGAGAGCACTGGGTCAAAAGATTCCTTCAATGTCATCCGGAGTATAATGTACGCAAGCAAAAGACCATTGATATACTGCGGAAACAGGCTCACCAACCTTCATTCATTCTTGATTGGTTTAACTGCTTTAAGGAGATAAAAGAGAAGCATGGGATCCAGGACTGTGATGTCTGCAACTTTGATGAAATGGGGTTCAGAATAGGAATTGGCCATGATCAGTGGATTATAACGCGAGATCCTTGGAGGAGAACCTATGTTGGCAGTTCAAATAACAGGGAAACTCTTACAATCATTGAAGGGATTGCAACTGACGGCTTTACTATCTCTTCTTTATATATTCTCACTGCAAAGCAGCTACAAGAGTGGTGGACAGATGAAATAGAGAAGGATGCCATGATAGCTACATCTGACACTGGCTATAATAATGATCAGATCTCTTTTCAATGGATTTAGCACTTCCATCACTCCACCAAAGCCCACATCAAAGGAACCCACCGTCTGCTTCTATTAGATGGATTTGATTCTCATTGCACCCTTGAATTTATGACTTTTTGTGACAAGCACAACATCATACCTTTCTATTTAATTCCTCACACTAGTCATCTTTTACAATCTCTGGATGTTGGTGTTTTTCAGGCTTTTAAACATCATCATTCTGCCGCAGTCGAGGAAGCTATGTGACGTGGTTGTGAGAAGTTCACAAAGGTTGAATTTCTTCATGCTATCACCTCTATTCAGAAAGCAATGTTCAAGGTTCATACAATCAAGCAAGGATGGAAAGCAACTGGCCTGGTTCCATTCAATCCATCAGTTGTCCTTAATAAATTATGTGAGTTTGAATCAACTCCTATGGAATCCAAGGGGTCTGTTTCCACCAACTCAGAGACCTGGTATACTCCTTCCACCATACACCAATTCAATCGATATAAGCGGAAACTGGAGGCTTTGGAGGAGGATGACAACTATGACACGGACTATATTTATATGGGATTACAAAAGCTTTATAAGGGTAGTATTGCAATGGTCAATACAGTGGCTCTTTTGCAGGAGGAGCTAGCTCAAACCTCTGCTGCCACACTGGCTCAAGAACACCACCTTCGCGGCTCGCGGAGGGTGGTTAATAAGGGAGGTGTCATATCCGCAAGCTACTGCCGCAAAATGACGGCAATTAATAAGAAGGTTGATATGGAGGAGGCATTGAAGAAATTGCGGCCAAAATGGAAGAGGGTTATGAAGGAACTTAAGAGGTATTGCAGAGATAAAGGCATTTATGTGAATGCCACCAAATTTACAAGTAAATCTCAGAGATAATTCATTTACACTATAATCTACTTGTATATATAAAATATAGAGCAATTCGTTGAAAAATTAGCTGAATGTCATGGGTATAGGCAGGCAGTAACGTTGAGATGGCGGATTACGTTAAGCTGGCGGGCCCTCGTAAAGAGGGCCTGACCGGCAGGTTGCAGGTGAGCAGTAGCTTACTAAGCCTCTAGGGCCCGGTTATGAAGTTATTTTATATAAATTGCAGAGTAGATATTTCAAAAATCTATTCTTTCAATAATACTACAACTACATTTATCATTTAATTAAGTATTTATATACTTACTTTATAACTACATAAATACTTATATAGTAACTATAAGAAATGTAAAAAAAATATACTAATAATTAGAGAGTAATAATCATTTTATTCTTATAATTTTAGTTAATATTTAAAGTATAATAATTATAATAGCCTATTTAAAATAAAATAGTAAATATATATTAACTTCATAAATTTATAACTGAAATAAATGTTATACTATGAATTTATACTTTGTTAAAATTTTAATTCAACTTTTCATAATATTGATTTTAGTTTGTCTATCATTATTATTCAAAATAGTGAAACTGAAGACTTAAGTGATATGTTATTAAATTTAACATTCAGTTCTTGCTCATCTTTAAGAGAAACTATGATGATTTTATAATGAGAGAAGATGATTGATTCATAAAATTTTGTGTATTAAACAAGCATATCTTCTCCAGCTGAGGATAATTTGAGTGGACTTGTGTACAAATTCATCTGTGCGGGCCAGTCACCAAGTCTATGACATAGAGTAGCAATATTGTCGCAGTCATAAGATTTTGCCATGATGTTTTCTTGACACTGCTGCCTCCTCTCAGTGATATTCCTACTTCCTCACCTTTACATGGGATTGGATGGTTGTATAGATCATCGCTGCAGAAGGTCATGAGAATCGCACTGCCAATGACACCTAGAAGGTGTCTCTGTCCCCTCTAATCAGATAGAGCGGCATCTCATCACATTGAAGAGGAGAAGCCTGAAAAAAACTCTACATAGATAGCTAGCTGACCCACTGTTTAGAGGGTCAGTGATTCATTCTCAATATATCGGAGTGACTGGAATATGCATATAATTCTCTATATATCAACTTGTACCACTGATTCCTCGATACCTCTATTCTTCCCTCTCTGTCAAGAGAATCTGACGCTTTCTTATTCTGAATTGGTGGCATAATTACGCGTTGAGAAGTAAGGGGTTTTGAATTAGTTGGGAAAATTTTTGATCGGTTCGCTCTGTTGGGAATTACGCTACTTATCTATATATATATATAATACATGCTTCCTTATAGTCATTTTTTGGGTTAATTCGGCTCCCCATGCCCAGTAATAAATCGTCAAAAATCTCCACAGGAAGTCCAATAGTAAAAACAGCGCAACCATGCCCATCATCGCCTCGCCACCCCCGTCACCGTCAAGAACCCTTCCCCAACCTCAACCTTCCATCCTTCGCCAGCCAGAGCCCTCGCAACAGCAGGACCAACCCTAGCAGTCCCATTCTTAGAATGCCGGCCTAACCCGGTGACAATGCGATAGCCCTCTTGCGCCGGGCTCCAACCCCCTGGCGCATACTTGGTGTCGCCGAGGGAATCCCACCAGATCCTGACTTTCTTCTTCGCGATGCCGACGGCATGTTGGGTGCTGACACCATGCAGATCAAGTACCCGGCTACTCGACTGCGACTCTACGAGTGCTTCTGCTGCGGCAGCAGCCTCTTTCTTTGCTTGTTCCATGTGCTCTCGGCCGATCGCGGAGTAGTACCCTGCTGCACCGCCCATAAGGTGATCGGATTTGCCACGACGATAGGCTGCAGTGGCCTTGTTGAAGGCAGCGTGGGCCGCGAGGGCATGAGAGTTGGCCATCGCTCTGCTTGTCAGGTGGTCCCGTGTTGGCTGTTGCGTCCATGGTGGCGTTTTGTGATCGGTTGGAGAGTCACCCAAATCTACAGGCGCATGTTTTATTTGAACTATCTGCGTGGGTGGCAGGGGCGGTTTGACAGTCATCATAAAGGTTGCAAGCTCACTCGCGGAAGAAGTACAGTTCCTGGCCAGGTGAAGTAATCCGGCGAGTTTCTCGGGGCAGACTTTGTCAAACTTCTGTTGGAGCTCCACTAACTGTGGGATAATGTTTAAGTCATCCATCATGGTCCTTGCGTGTTTCTCTGCCTCAGCGGATGCAAGAGCATGCAATGTGTTTGGGAGGGAGGCTCCATTCGCGTGGTACGCTGAAGTGACAGACTTGCGTGACAAGTAGGTCCGTGAGCAGATAAATTCTACATCTTTTTCCCCATTGTCCCATTTGTTCTCAGTCCTATTGATTTCATGTTGCTCTGGGATTGATGCTTGCGAATGTCGCAAAAATCCCTGTTTTATGTTCCGCTTATTATTCGCCTTCCTGCGTCCTTTTGTAACACTGTCCCCAGCAAACCCCTCGATTCCCTTTAGTATTGACCCTTTGTTTTCTTTGTCACCTGCGTTGTGATCATCAAAGAAGGCCAGATTCAGCACATCGATCGATCGATCGATATCTCCGTCGCATTTCCTCAGAGTGTGAACTATGGTGTAATTATCAATTGACGGAAACATCTCAGACAGGTAAGTCGTTTTGCCCTCCAGCGTCAGTCCTGTAATCGTTCTCGAAATACGGCCTGGGGAGGCCTCAGCGTCACGCGCACTCCATCCTTCGGCCCAGCGCACATTTTTCTGGTTATCCTCTTCGTTTAAGCTCGCAGCGGAGAATTCTGACCTGAGGCTTGTGAGGTTGGACGTTAAAGAGGCCAGCGTTGGATTTGATTCGTCTTGTTCCGATGAGAATTCATCCTGATCACCGCCTTCCTGGTCCTGACCACTTGTTCCTGACGGGTCAAATAGGGCATCTTGCTGTTCAACAGCGGAGACTTTGAGCGCATCAAGCGTGTCGCGCAGTTGCTGGACTCCATTGTCGTCGAGAAGGTTATGATCGCTTGCGAGAGCCGCGAAAAGGGCAGGGTCTATGGGTGGACAATATTCATTTTCCAAACCCTATTGCGACGGTGTCAACTCACCAGTAATCAGCTAGAGATTGATAAGGGTACGGAGTAGTAAGTAGAGTAAGTAAAAACTAGAGTAATAAAGGTAAAATTAATACGACCTACCTCCATGAGGGTTTCAACTGAATCACCCATCTGGGAAATTGTAGCGCTTCAGTCTAGCCGCTGGACTCTAAAGCAGTGGCATCGCTTTGCGACACGGGGTAGCATATGGATTGAGGCGAGAGTTTGATGATAACTACCAGGAAGGCTGTTAAAAGAACGCGTGCTGGAAGGCCCCCGGCAACACAGATAAATATGTACCGGGGAAAAGAGGTGGCATATATGTAAATGGTAACTTGCGGTATGAATAAATGGGATTTTTTTCCCCTTCTTTTTCTGCCTTTTTTTCCCTGCAGGAACACTTAAGAAGGGGGCCAAAAAATGCGGGTTAACATTTCTTATACGAGCGGCGCAAGGGATTTGAATGGCTGATAACTCACTCTCCCCCACCACTGTCGATGACGCTGATAGTAAATGACTCTACCAGGAACAAGAAGGGATAGTTACTCTCTGGTTAGTTATTAGAGGGGTGAACATGGCAAACCCGACTGCTCGCTGGAATAACTTATCAACAGTAACAAGGTTAACTAGTTATTAACTAAAGCACTGGAAGGTTGTAACTAACTAGTTAGTTTAACTATCCGCGCCAGTCACGTGCTTCTAGCATCTGGTTAAACCTTTCGACGTCGGCTTCATTTCCAGAAGAGTCTCGGATGCAGAGACTCCTCGTAGCAAAAACCCTGGAATCGATGTTCTTGAGTTGCGGTCTCATCTCTACTAACTCAACAGTGTCTGGTTTATCCCTCTTTATGCTTTAAGTTCTGGGTATGGGGCAGCCAGCAGTAGTAGGTGCGGACATTTGCGTGCTAGTACAGCTGCTACACGACATTGCCTGATGCTTATCGTTGATATTATTTTGTGATTCCCATGTGATTGAGAGAACGGATTTAGAAGAAAGAGAAAGAAAAAAGGCAAAAACTATTGCATTTCAACAATCAAACAAACACAGAGCAACGAAACTATTTATGATACAAGGGGGTAGATAATCAAGGGGCATCTGGACTTTCTTACAAGGAAGAAAAATGGGAAAGGGGGAGGAACATCGCAAGGGATCAAATTAATAATACAAGGAACAATTCCCTCTTGACAAGGGCAAAAACACGACAAGAGAAGACGACAGGAGAAGCAACGCAGAGGACTGAACAAATGCTACATGAAACAACTCTATCTCAACAAAGGAGAAAAAGCCAACATAGGAGCTTCAAAAGAACAACCCAGTCCGTCCGTCTTTTGGATGCGCCGTAATAGATATATAGGGAGCAACAAAAGCGCCATTTCCCAAATATTTATGCAGAAAAGGGAAAATAAAGAGAAGAAAACTAGATACACCACGGGTTATCGGATATATAATCAGTCGAACCTTGGAGAAAAAAGAAAAGATGGAAAGGAAGAAGAAAACAAATCGAATCCATACATAAAAATACAGGTTGGGGAAATAAAGGGGGAAAATTTAGGAATACAAGACATCAGGTATATCTCGAATATCTCGAAGAGGTGAAAAAGAATAAGAAAAATAAGTCAAAACTAAGCATAGAAGTACAGAAATGGTAAATAAAAAAAGAAAACCCTGCACCTCCCACAGATTGTCGAGCTCTCAACTGTCGAATTCCTTCACTGCAACTGGGAAATCAAGGTATTGGGAATCACCCGAAGAAAAGGAGGAAAACGCAAAAACGAAAAAGAAAAGTAAATCGAAACCAGACATAGATAAACAGGCAACAAAACCTCCAGTTGTGTATCACATCATTGTAAACCCAAATTCAACTTGCAGTAAAAAAGGGTGATTAAAAAAAACTCTTGGATGAAGGACTGCAAAACAGACACTGGACAGAGAGTGTGTGAGTGAGAGAGAGAGAAAGAGAAAGAGAGAGAGATTAAAGAAAGAAAGAAAGATAAGAAAAGGGAGTGAAATCCATGAAGGGAAAAACCTAACCGAGGTCGCTTATATGCATGTAACTGCTGAGACAAGATAAGAAAAAAGAGGGTTTGGGGAATCCATAACAGGCAAACTGACAACCGAACCTCTTGTAAACACGAATTAAAATTTCCAACACGCGAAAAACGCTTAGGTTAATGAAAACAAACAAACGTCACACAAGAGAAAAAGGAGAAGGTGAGAGAAGAATCGATAATAGGGAAAACAGTACTGGAGTTTTTGCTCAAAGCCGCTGGTTTTTGAAGATTTGATTCTGAACGGAAAATTACAACACACGTTTAAAGTACGCCTTGGCTCAGGAAAAACAAAATAGACACCGGAAAGTGAGGAAATCCATGAATATGTAAAACAATGTAAAACTCAAAATTTCTGAATGTAACCACCGCATTCGATTCCGACATGAAATTCAGGACGATTCAATCTCATCGACAAGGTCGAAAATATCACCGCGGAGAGTCGGATTGTAATCGGCAATTTCGATGAGCTTGTTCCTATAAGCGAAGAAAAAAACGTAGTTCCACGATTTGAAACCATAGGACGGGCCCGCATTTCCATGTGGCAGATTGCGAATAATATTGCGAAGAATAAGGACTGCTTTGTACGCAATTCCGATGGGGTCTCCATTCTCATCAACGGGAGTTGGATAGTAGTCGAATGTCCGGGATATTCTAGGCTGGATGATCTCGCGCCCAGGAGGCGGCGCGGGGGGCAGAGCCATATCCTTCAGGGCTGGCAGATGGGTATAAACGTGGTTGACAAGTTCATTGACATTGATGGTGGAGGGTTTACGATGCGTTTTGCAAGACTCCCAGCCGCAATTTCTCAGTTGGTCCTCTGCATCTTCCGGGCCAAGATGTAGGTGGTCACGGATAACATGCTCATGAAGTTGTGCAGGATCAGTAAATCCAATTTTGCATATAGGACTGGGATCAGACCATCGACAAGCGAAATATGGATACCCATTGGGGTGGTAAGCGGCCTCGAGGGGCCGGATGCCTTTGATGATGAATCTAGCACTTGGACCGGGGACAACCTGTGCCTGGGCTGAAGAGAAGGTGGCACTCACGGCATTGATAAAGTCAGCTGCCGCCAGGGTGGGGATGCCTCCTGAGGAACGGTCTGCCGCGAAGCAGTCCTGATAAGCTTTCCAGAGGGCAAGTTGAGTGATTTCACACTCCGCATCCTCAATGAAGAGGCAACTAAGCCAACGAGCGCAACGTTCTGGTTCAGGGATGTGCAGGAGTAAGGCCTTCAGTTCCTGTGGCACAGGTGGAATGCTGGTAGTTGGGGGTGCCTTGTGCTCTTCCTGATCCACTATCTCATTCACATGATCATTAGAGTCAATTAGGAGAAGACTGACCATGCGAGGAACCATGTGGTGAAGCCACTCGGAATAGATGAATTCATTGATATTTTCCGGAGTCGCTGTGTATTGGTAGAAGAAGTCAAGAGTCATTGAAAGCAGCTCCTTGTCCTGCTCAAGATAGGAGTAGTTGAAGAGCGCCAGGAGCTTGTCCCCTGGGAGGCCTCCAAGACGTTTGAACGTAGTCAGCTCCATCGAATACAGTACTATGATCTTCAGAGCAGTCACGACGTGGTATCTATCATTCGAATCCACGAACGGAAGTAGCAGAGGCAAGAGGGGGTCGTTCTCATCAGTTTCCCAGTATGGACAGACTTGCTCCAAAGTGTCCAACATATGGTTTAGGGCTTCGTTGAAACGCGGTTGACGAGGGGAGCTCAGCACAATGAGCAGGCAATTTTTGAAAATAGGCATTTCTGAAAGATAACGGGCGTTTGCCTCTAACATAGACATATTCCGTAAAACCAGGGCGGCTTCCGTGATCCATCTGAGTGTACGGGCAGATTCAGCGTCTTCCACATGATCGTCACCATGTATAATGACTGGAAGGCCGGCAACTCTCTCAACGATATGAGGATCTTGTTCAGTGCCAGATACGGCCAGACACCCATACGGTATTTCTCTGCGTCCATTATAATCAACGAACCAGGTCACACCGGAGATGAGGCGAGTGATCCTCATGACTAGATCAGTCAGATATTCTGCAAGACCACCAAAGTCCTCAAATTTGAATTTGTCTCCACGTTCATCTGAGATAACCACAAGGTGATGAAGCGCGAAGTCCCTATCACCGTCGGAGCCAACCTCTAGGGATCGAAGGCACTGGCTATAGATTTTAGGAACTGTAGTAGGAAGAGGAGGCTCGTTAGATTCTTCTTAAAGAAAGTGGGGTTTGTGGCAGATGAGTGTGGGAATTGAAATGTTGGGAAAGAGATAAAACAGCAAAAGATAAAACAAAACGACTACCAAATCACATACCTGTATCAGGGATCATCGATCTCAGAAGGGGTTCTATGGGTAGAGGAGGTGGTTGTTGAGCAGATGGCGCATAAATTCCGCGCTGGTTCGCGGGGGTGTCGACCATTATTGTGTGCATGGGGGTCATGGTGTCCATCATTGCGGGAGTAGCGGCCGCAGACATATTGGTGGAAGCGCTAGCGGTAGCGGGGTTGGAGCTATTAGAACTACCGTAGGAGGGTGTAGGGGTATGTGTTGAGGAGAATTGGGAGGATGAGGAAGAAGAAGAAGAAGAGGAGGAGAAAGGGGAGCTGGATAAGTTGATGTAGTTGCCAGGGAGTCCGTGAGTATAGGATTGGCTGTGCGAGGGCACGGGTTGTAGTCCTACTACAACAACAGCACCACAAACGCAGTGTTAATTCAAGCTGTTGGACTTTAAACAGGAGGTAGAGGGAAGGATTGGAGTTATGAAGAAAAGCGGAGTGAGTGACATACCGTGGGGAAATGCTTGAAGCGGAGCCAGCAGCTGCGCTTGTCCTAGTCCTTGTCCTAGTCCTTGTCCTTGTGCTGCTGTCCCGGGCAGTGGGTATGTAAAGCCCGCAGGCAACACCGCGTGCTCCAACGGCCTAGATATTATATTGCACAAAAGATAAGAAAACATTGATATTTAATGCAATGGAATTCATTCAATTGAGACTCTTATTACCTGTTAAGGAGAATAGATATATGGAAGGGGTAAAAATTTCAAAAACTCACAAAAGCCAAGTGCGGTAGGTTTCTATAACGTTCCAGGAGAAGGTCGTAGCCTGCGTATCAGTGATTCCGGAGAACTTTGAGACAGTATACCAGCTGATCTTGTCGAGCGAGATGTGGTTGAAGCCTCCACGATCGAAAACGTTGAAGAACAGCCAATACGGTTGAACCCGCTTGCGGTTGATATAGAACTGGCGATTGCGACGAGGAGGCACGATGCTGTTCGCAGTACGGAGTAGTTACGGTGTATTTAGCTACTCACAGCAGCAGCAAACAAAAGACAAAGAGACAAGAGAGGGGATGGTGAAGATAAATGTATATCTTTATCTCTACTTACTTCCGGGCAGCGTAGGCATGCTTCAAGGCGCAGTGGAATACTGCCTCTTCCTGCCGCATCGCAAGTAACGTTGAACGGGAAATCTGCGGCCGCCATCTTGGCAGCACGTGCACTGCACTGTGGAGGATCACGTGGATGATAATGTTGATGGGCGGACTTGGCAAGGGGATCGGAAAAAGTGAAGACATGAAACAGGAGAAACAGTCAGTTTTTCTAGACACATTGGCCCCTGGTCAGCACCTGTGGACTCGAACAGCCCAACAGAAGCCCCATGAAGAATGAAGTAATATCTCTTTGTTCAGAATTTACCTCTTGCTGGACACACATCTAGGAACCATCCTGTGCCAGGGGTTGAATACCAAGCATTGATCTGCAGTAGTTGTTCTTCACGTGATCGGAATAAAGAAGTTCCAAGTCCGGGATGAGTTGTAGGAGACAAGTTTTATCACTAACTAGTTAACTAGTGAGCTTGTGATACATGACCTCGGAGATTCAATGGATGGGATGGGGATGAAATAGATGTCCTACAAACCTTCAAGGATTGGGTGCATAGGACAGATATGACAGATATCCGCCAGCTGTGAATCTTTAATTAAACTAGTTTACTCTATGTTTATCCCAAATATCCAATAGTGATCTCCTCCAGGTTCCGTCTTCAATTGCAAGCAGGTATATAGATATATATAACTATATATAAGGGTAGGTACCTCCCTATTATATGAGGACATCCCCTTTGGGGAATTGAGGCTCTTCCACTCCCCCACCCCCAACAACCTGGATGAGCTTATTTAATCCTCACCTCTTCTTGTTCGTCTTATTCTTCTATATATATGTATATATATATACCGCTTGAACCGCAAGTATATAGCCCCAGCGTTGCAATAGATAGTTGTCTATCTAGCCATCACTGACTTTCGGTTTGATGGACGCATTTTTCCCCTAAGTCAGAGAAGAACAGCACCATCTATCTGTATCGTGCTCTGCTCTGATCGTGTCTGCTCCCAGTCCCTATTTGACCAGCTCTTTTGCAGGCTATAGTCTGTCTATATATCATAACTGTCACAACTGCCGTAGCAGTTGTCATAGCTTGTTATAGTTGTTCTACACCATCATCTTCGCTGGAAATGACTTCTCATCCCTTCAGCGTTATGCAAGTTCAATCAAGCTCTCTGAATATCCCCATCCTGAAATTCTCGTATTCCACCACCTCAGCAGACCGTGCGTCCCCTTTGGGATGGACACATCTTTCTACCAACAGTGATCTGGCTGTTGTGTTTGACCAGATCTCCATCCATGAGACCTCCTCTTCGTTCTCCCAGGGAGATCAGCGCCTCAGGGTGCTGCGAGGAAGCGATGTCTTGGTAAGTGGCTCTGTGGGAGAGGTTGTCGTTTCCCCTTGCGAAGCTCTGACGCCCAGTCTCCAGTCGTACTTATTATCCATGTTTGGGCAAATTAGGAACAGCTCAACTTGAATTCTTTGGCCCGCGAGGCAGCAATAGGCCCGTCCCTTTCTTTGTCTCAAAATCCAAAACCTCACGCTGCCATCATTGTAAAATCTCCGTGTCTGGCTGTGCGCTACCCTATGAGAAACGATCAGGTTAGGGACATACATTCTTTATATGTCAATACCCCTTTTTTTCTCTATGGCAGATGCTAAATTATGATATAGATCCGCCGTTTCCAGATCAAGTTCTCGTCTGATTCTGACTATACGAATGCCATATCTATATTCAACAAGCTTGGTTGTCCTATCACACATTCCGCAGTAGCCCCATCTCATCACACCTCTTCAAATCGACCATTCTCCTCCTCATCCCAAGCTTCCTCTTACGTGCAGACAGGTGGTGGCACATTCACGGTGTCCTCAGGATGCTCAACTGGAGCTGATTTTGACAAATACCATATACGACCCTGGTCATCTTCTTTGACAGACGCAAAACCAAATTCATCGGGGCTATTCATAAATTCATTCAACAACGTTTCAGCAACAAACGCAAACTCCCATGACCAGAACTATGGGAGACCTCACACTTCAGCATTGACCACTACACCCAGGGTTTCTACTTTTGCCATTGCAACGACTAGTTCCCCTGCCACGAACGTCCAAAGCCCATTAGCTAATTTTTCCTTCGCAGCCCAGCGGGAGACGCACTCTGTCACTGCGAACCCCGTGGAATCGAATCAAACCAGTGGCTGGCTATTCAAAGAGAGGCCGTCTACTGCCCCACCCCTACCAGACGTGGATACTTTGAGTCAGATTCTGCCGCCGAAGAGAGAACTTCCGTTTGCTAATCTCAGAGCGACGCAGGCGTCTCTCACACGGAAACCAAAAACCAACCAAAGAGCGAAAGCGACGCTACAGCCTGGCAGTTCATCATCCTTCTCAATAGCTCAGTCCGAAGCCTCAAGTTCTGGTGGAATCATTGATAGCCCGTCAAACACTGCAACTCTAGGATGGGCTCAGACGATTACTAGTGGAAGTGCTAGCGCTTTCCCTACCAATTATGTACTACCACGAGCTTTGAAGGAAAAAGGCCAACCTACAGCAGTTCTGAACTGCACTGACCAGTTCACCACTACGGATACTCTATCCGTGAATGGGCCTAATTTTGCACGTACAGTAACTGCTCCATCCAAAGCTGACTCCGGGTCCATATTTACCAGCTCCACGTCGCCAAACACAATCGACGGAAACAGCAACACCGCGAACGCAGAACCCATAGCGACAAACTCAATCCCCCCACGCATGCTAACGGAGAGAAGCGGACAAGGGCGCAATAACCTTACAGGATCCGTAAATCGGGATGATATATCCCCATCAGACTTGTCGTTGTACATCTCAACGCCAACTCCGGAACGATCAGCGCTGGTAGAATCGTGGGTTTGTCGACAGCTTGAGAACGATATGTTCCTGGCCCTCTGCCAGGACGTTGAGGGTGTGTGGAGGAGGATAGCCTTTGGCTATTGATGTCGATGGATTTTCTTTCTTTCTTTCATACTTTTTTTCGACGACATTTCTTGATGCTTTTAACCACCACCACTGGGGATTTTGTTCATATCAATAACCCGTATAATATATATACCCCACACCTTCTCAACCATTTCTTTGTTATTTGTTTTGTGGGTCCACGACACCCTTCTGGTGTCGCAGTTCAAGAACCATTTTTTATCGTGTTTATCCCTATCAGCCAGCATTTTTCATTTGGTCCCAGTGAAATAACCCTCCTCCCTCTACAAGTCCCAGCACATTGAACGCTGTATTATTAGAGATAGACCTAGAATAGCTTAAGAGAAAATAATGCCGTCTGCATTGAAAACAACACCAATCACGATAACTACTCATATTACACATATTCTTCACGGATTTACAGGAAATGAGGCAGCGAACGACAGATGTAGATGAGATGGGAATATAAAGAGTAGAAAATGCAATTCCAAATCAATTAAAGTGTTTCCGTTTTAAATATCAAAGGAAATCAAATAAAATCAACGGCATTGAAACAATTCAAGAGGAGCAACCCCCATAAGAAGTTATACGCACACAACAAACACTATTTGTTCCCGCCCTGATACAGTACAGAGGAATCCCATCCCATTCCTCAGCTATTTTGGTGTGTTCTTGATATATTACGGGGAAAAGGAAACTAGGGAAGGTTGAGGGTAAAGCCGAGTTCGAGATATGTTGTGTATGAGAATATCAAGACGAAAAACAAAAAGAGGGGGGAAAAAAGAGATGCGATGAGGGGGTGTCTCAAGGTATTATTACTGGCAAATTGAAAATAAAACTAAGACCCTCAGAAGGTATTGGATAGGGGAATAAGGGATGGAGGAAAATAAAGGCAACTTTTGCATAAAACATGGTGTAGACTGGAATGAGTAGACAAGGGTGGTAGGAAAAGAGATGGGGAGGGTGGAGGAGGGCAGGGAGACGAAAGACGAGCAACGTACATAAAAAGAAGCTCAATACAAAACCACCGGACAACAAAAGAAAACAAGAAAAAGAAAGGTCTGACCCCTCCTGCTAGAAAACACCAGCATGCTTTGCCCTGAGTTTCTTTCCATCTTAAACATGTTCATATTCACGCCCGTCAATTTCCATACTCAGCAAAGCCTGAGCATCTTTTCCTGTAGCAAGTGGGGGTGGACAACCCATATAAAATATCACCAGACAAAAGCATAGAAGAAGGGTAGAACAGCTATCAAAACATACAAAGCACGAAGGGAAAAAAAATCACCACTGCATTCTGTTTGTAGTACGCAATTTCCTTTCTTTCATCAGGCCGTAATATGACGCAAAGAACATATCATGACACCAGTTCTCATAGCGTGTTATAAATAACACGATTGCAACTTTCGCTCAACTGCCAGCAAGGACATTAAGGTAACCCCGCTTAGTTAACCTCGTAAAGTCAACGAAGACAGGGGACATCTGTTTTTGCTCCTCGCCAGAATGAGGCAGGCCATCACCAAGCTCACCAGCACCAGCGACGCCACCAGAAACACCGGCCCCCGACCCCGCCCCGGCGCCAAGGTCCTTGTCATCGCCAGCCACATTCACCGCAGAAGTTGGCGGGGGCGAGGAAGCGTTCACACCACCACCCGCACCAACGGCCAGATCGGCCAGGTGTTGCAGGGAGCGCTGCTCCCTCGGGCCAAGGGGCGGCTGGGCAGATCCAGCGACACCGCCCAAGGCACCCGCCATGCCCTGTGGGACCTGTCTGACTTTGGCAAGTTTCGCCTGGATGAAGGCGTGGATGCATCCGTCCCAGCTGGAAGTAGCGAAGACATTCTCGAATTCTCCTGCCGTAGCTGCGTGCTTTTCGCGATAGGAGATGACCTGAAGTGCTTTCTCTATCGACTCCCACGCGTCGTTTGCGAGGTCTGGCAGGTCCGTGATTTCAAGGAGAGTGACTACGGCCAGGGAGAGGAAGTGGAGATGGAATGGGGAGGAGATGGGTGTTTCGGACTGAGATTGTTTGTGGAGAAGGTCAATGATGACTTCGGCCGGGTAGAGGACTTCAGAAGGGGTATACGTGAACAGGTGTCGTTTCAGGAGAAGAGTGATGAACCAGAACATCAGGGGAGAAAGTTCTTCAATGCGCGCATTGTTCACGCTGTCACCGCTGGCGTACAGATGAAGCTGTTCAACATCCCTGATGCGATTTAATTGGCCGTACAGGTTGCGTTTAAGAGCACGGTTAGCGCCGTAGTTTGAAAGTGTATATGGCGTAGGATCAAACAAGAGGTCATGGACCTCAGATAGAAGCGTAGAATAACCTGTACGCAAACAAAGTTGTCAGCTAGGTCGTATCACTAGAAAGGTTTGTATACAGCTCTGGAACAGAAGTACACACGCGATATTTGCATCGTCGCAAGGCTAAAAACCTGTTTATCTTCCAGAGTCGCGGTTTCATTCGTATCGAAAAGGTCAGGTCCTGCCACAGCAACAGCATGCCAGCGGGACAAAATGCCGAAAACAATCCAATCGCGTCTTGCGATATTTCCATCGGAATCGGAATCAGTGTCATCTGGGTTGCTCGTCCTAATTTGGCCCAGACTTTTGGCAATATAGTATGACAGAGGGAAAGCAATCTCCAACAGCACCGATTTCGAGAGACCGTTCTGCCCCAACAGATTTTCTGGACCACGAGAGTCGGCCTCGAGAACCATCAAAAGAATGCTTTGGAGGAGCAACAAGTTGGTAGACCGTGATCTGGTAGATGGGTCTTCGCGAAATGACGCGTACAGCCGGTCTTGAGCCTTTTCGTATGTTAGAATTTGCTGGAATTGATTCCCAGCACGAAGCAAATTCGCTCCAGTGACGGCGTAGAGACAATGTAGAAATGATTCTTGGATTTGTCGATTGCATTGTTGGAGATGGTCGCAGAATCTTTCCCTTGAGTTGGGTAACACAGGGAGTAAGGGGTGGATATGATTGTAGTAACTTTGCGGCCATTTAAATTAGGATGTCATGGTTATTGGGTGTGGAAATTTTATTTTATATTATATATAATTTTGGGGGAGGGAAGCAAAAAGGAGAAAATCAGGTACTCACGCATCAAACACTTTGTCGTCCAATTCAATTAAAGGCTGTAACTCATCTCCCAAGGTACTAATCTCAGTTTGCTGTCCTGTGCCAGTGCCTTCTTGTGACCAGAAAGGTTGATTAATTTTAGCAACAGACCCATTAGTCAAAAGAGGGCCGGAATATATAGATACACCAGCACCACCATCTCCCTGAGGAACTTGTGCTTGGTCTTTACTTGGGGCCTGGACAGGCCAACCCCCGACCGAAGATGGGCGTCCGGTTTGCGAGAACGGAGGCTGCATGAAGGTATTCGGAAGACCCTCTGACATGGAATAAGTCCTCTTGCGGGATAATAAATTGCCTTCTACCGGGGATGAAAACTCCTGGTATCCTCTGGGAGATGTGTCGTCCTGCATTGCCTGGTACGGAATGTCGGATTGGCCAAGTCCGGGATGCATCTGGTTTTCAAGACTGTTGATACGATCGGCCAGTTCTTTGATATACCTGTAGGTAGCGGCTCAGTTTCTGACAAAAAGGATAGATAATGCTAGGATAGACAGGGTACAAACCCTTTGCTCGGGCCGCGCTTCATTGGAACCCTACTGAATTCACAAGTCGCATTGGTTCGGCGGCAGTTGGAACAGGTTTCGACACCTGCTTCTGACGTGGCGTCACATCGAATCTATTCATATATTGGTGTGAGAGTCGCGCGGCAAATAATAAATAATATGCACACTCGATTAAGTAATATTGACTTACTTTCTTGCGCCTACACTCATCGCACGCGCGGGAAACCTTTGATCTCTTCCGTCGCGCACTCTGGTCCCCATAGCTCAAGTCATGATTGGGATCGACTCCGACCTGTTGATTTGGAGGGAACTGAAGAAGATGAGGTTGTGGTTGTTGTTGTTGTTGTTGTTGCTGCGGCTGCTGCTGTTGCTGTTGCTGTTGTTGCTGCTGCTGTTGTTGCTGATGCTGATCGGATGGAGAAGCACGATTCATATCCGCCGCGCCAGGGTTGGACTGACCCAAGACCATGGATTGTCCATGGGCAATGCCATTTGCGGAGGAGTCATTAATATTAGCAGCAGAGGCGTCGCGCGACAGCTCAGCGGAGAGATGCAACTCATCTTCAGTCAGATGGCGAGACTGGTTGGCGTAATAGGACATGGTGGCTTGTCCGATTTGCGCCGCGTTGGGGGACGGGTACGAGTGAGTCGGGGGAATCTCAGAGGAATCTCTGGAATCCATGGTATCCGAGACCCCTTCTTGGACGGGAGAACGAGATGGATGTGGCTGGAGCGGGTCTCCGGAAGAAAGGTGGTTGGTGATGTACTCGGGGTGAACGCGGTCTGCCAAGTCTAAAAACATCGGCCATTTGAAGGGGGCAGAAAATGAAGAATTAGTCGGGCGCGACCAGCAATTGGAACGGGGAAGCACAGGCGACCAACGGTGACTTGGAGCAGCCAAACTCTCGACAGCGCAGCGCTCCGTAGAGGGCGGGGGGAGCCTGGAGAGGGGACTCTGGGAGCGGGTTGATCAGGCCGGGCTTCTGAGAGAGACGGGGATGATGATCGCATCTGCTGCTTGGTTAGGGCTCAGCGGCGGAGGACGGGATTTGTTTTTTGCGGTTGAACGAACTATTATCCAGGAAGCAACGGGGAACAGGAAAGGAATGGATTAATAAAGACCCGGAGAGAAAGCTGAGCTTCCCAAAAGATAAGCAAGGCGTTAGTGCGTCATGTGACTGAGAATTACGTCAGCGCTGAGTCAGCTCCGCCATTCAGAACCTCCAGGACAGGGGCTACTCTGTACATAGACTCTCAAGAGGGCTTCGGCCGACTAGACATGTCAGGCAGCAGACTAGCTGCTGCGCTGGCACGCCTGATACCCTTAGGGAGGTGCTGTGGCCGCGTCGGCAGACTATCCTTAGTCAGCTGATCACGTGCCTCCAGGCGTTAAATAAGTAATAATAATAATAATAATATATATTCATCACAATACAACCACCAACTCGTATTGGAGGATACACGGTACGGCACAGAATCACGTGCGGGACGGCGGGGGCTGCGGTCGCTTCGGGGCGAACGGCATTCGCCTATTTCGCCTCACCGTCCGTTGCACCGCCGTGCGAAATCTAGAAGCTAGCTTTCCAAACCTAGATCTCATGCAAAAAGCAAAAGCATGCTATATATGAAAATTTATTATTTTCACCTTAATTCACCTGTATGCCCTAGTAATTTGCAGAAAGTGTCTAAAAGCTTCCTTATATGCCTGGGGGTTTGTAAAATCATTTGCCGTTATATTTTTCATGAGAACATATTTCAAAGAAATAACGCTCTCATTCAACTGTGTACGTTGAGTATTGAAAACAGGTGTCAATAAAGCTTACTACAGGCCGTAATCGCTGTGGCTGTAGTGAGATCAAACCTTTTATTATCCATCTTGATTGAGATTGAATCTTCTGATATAAAATCTAGATCTCTTACAAGTTAGCGAGCCACATTCCTATTTTGTCGCATGGTCAACCAAAAAATTTGTCAACAATACAGAGCAGTCAAGCTTTCTATATGCAAGGAAAGATTCTTATAGCATTGAAGCTTTTGATAAGGGTCAGATATCTAGTGTATGAGTCATAACAAAGTGTTATAATATCTCTTACTTTATCTTGACCCAACAAGCATACAGTTATATAGCACATGTAGATACTCTCGACAGAAACCAGAGAATTTTATCTTATAGAAGAGAGATCTCTTATTTAGAAAATTCTTTTAATGAATAAGAAAAATCAGTCACTTTAAATTGCAATTATATAAAAATAGTTTATTTTCTTTTTAGTATTTAAAAATTTTAACTTTATCTTTAAAAATAATTTAAAATTTATATAATATAATATAGTTATAAATTAAAATAAATAATTAATTAAATAAATTTTTAAAATTTAAAAGTTATTTTATTAATTAAAAATATAATTAATATTAATGAAAATTATAATATAAATTAAATTATTTTTTTTTATTTAATTATTATAAATTATTAATAAAATTATATTTATAATTAATTATATTTTTTATTTAATTATATTTTATTTTTATAAATTTAATTTATTTTTATAATATTTTAAATATTAAAATTAAAATTTATATTTCTTAATAAAAAATAATAATAATTTATATATAAAAATTTAAATATTATTTATATTTTATATTATTTTTTAATTTTTATTATTTTATTATTAAAATTTATAATATTTAATAATTTTTTTTTAATTTTTATAAAGATAAAAGTTATAATTTAAAATAATAATTTTTATTTTATTTAATTTAATACTATTTATTAATAATTTAATTATAATTTTTTATAAATTATTATTATTATTATAATTTAATTTAAAGTTAAAATAAAAGTTTTAATTTTATTTATTTAATTGAATAGTTATAATAAATATATTAAACTAAAAATTAAATTATAAAATAATTAATTAATTAAATATAATTAAAAATTAAAATAAATAATTATACTATATTATTATTCTTTAATTTAAAAAAAATATTTATTTTTAAATAACTATTATTATAGTATAGCTATTAATAATATGAATTAAAATTATTTTATTTTATTTTAATTATATTTAATAATTAATATTAATTTACTTTATCATATTTTAAAAATTAATCTATTTAAATTTTTAGTTATTTATTTAAATCATATATATTTATTTATTTTATATTTTAATTTTTAGTTTAATATTTTTATCATAGTTATTTAATTATATAGATATATTGAATCTTTTATTTTTATATTATTATAACTTTATTTTAAATTATAACAGCTATATTAAAGAAAAAAAAGATAAAAAATTTTTATTAAATTTTAATATATTTTTTATATTTTATTAATATTAGAATTATTATCAGATTTTTATTTAATAATTTAATATTAATAATAAAGTTTTAAAAAATAAAAATAAAAATAATAGTTTATAATTTAATATTTATATAATTTATAGTATATATAATAGTTTTTTATAGTATTTTTTATAAAAAAATAAAATTAATAAAATATATAATAAAAAATTATTTTATAAAAAGTTAAAATATTAAATTAAATTTAAAATAGATTTTATTATAATATAATTAGTGG